GGGTTTTTTCCCACTAATTACTGCTGCACACCACCTCTCGGGGCTCCACACCCCTTCATCAAGGTGGGCCCTTGAGAGTGTACTGGGCCAGGTCTGCGCGGCGGGGGAATCACGCAGAGCCAGCAGAACCGTCCTGTGGAACATTCAATAGCAACAAGTCCGGCTGTGAGAAACCAGAAAGGGGTGAGAGGGGGGGTGATCAAAAGGTCCAATAAAAGGTACTGAAATTGAGCTGTGCTAATGTGACTAATGCTTCAGTACTATTTACAAATATGTAACATTTAATATTACAGTCTGGCGAATTATAATTATTAGGGACTGTAGTCAATTATCAAACATCTTGAGACAATTTGAATGTTTAAAACAGGTTCTTCCTTTTTTCTGTTTACCAGATTTATAAATAAAGAAAACAGATTTAAAAACAGCACTCCAATATATCAATCTATGTCAGCTATTGAGAGCTATTGCTACATTTAACGGAGTAAATGTTAAAACAAGTCTGTAGTGGCAGCCTTCTTTCTAACTGAAGGATAATAAAAAGAGGCTAATGAATGCATAACATACTATGAATATACATAATCCATCTGGAAAGCTGAATATTTGAAAAACTGTTTGATACATTTTTTTAACAAAAGATTTTTTTATCGTTCTTTTAGATCAGAGTAACAGAATATAAACTATATAACCAGTAATATCTCTTCTAATATTTTTACATCTGAATTTTTAACATGATTTCAAACAAAAGATCTACATTTCAATTCTATATTTCTCAATCAATTAAATGGCATTACAAAAAATGAGGATTTACCATTTCAGAATTTGAGCCACTGTGCAACTTCATTGCTTTTTCCTGCACATTTCCTATAACTGCATCTGCGCAGAGGGCAAGGGATATAAGGACCACTCCTTCAAATAATCAGAAAAATAAAAACAGGTATAATGTAAATATACTTAAACAATAGACATACATAGCCAACAATTATAATTTTAAAATATATATTTATTTATGAAAATGTCTAGAATATAATAGCTTTGTAATAATAAGCAAATCTGACAGTCCAATCACAGAGATTAATATTCACTTGTCAGAAATATAGAGCACTTATACTCTGTTCTCAGCTGTGGGGGGGGGGGGGNGGGGGGGGGGGGGGGGAAAGAAGATAATTAAGCTAATACTAAAAGATTTCAAAGTAGTTGGTTATGAATTGGTTGGAGACCTAGTAAAAACTTCAAGGAAAAATAGGAAATTAGTTTGTCTGTTTAGCATGAAATAGTGATATTTCAGAGTTTTCTTTTGAATAAATTTATAGACATTTCTAAAATTCTGTTTTCACTCTGTCATTATGGGATACTGAAGGTAGATTAATGAGAAATGTTTTTTCAACAACTGTAGAATCAGGCTGCAGCATAACAAAATTGAATACTTTCTGAATACTTTCTGAATCCACTGTAAATGTTTAAATTCAAATACCAAGTTAATGAAACAGGGAAGTAATATGATATCCAAAACTTAGTATTTGAATTGGGTGTAGTTCAAGCTTTCCAACTATGCCCTCAATTTTAAGGTGACACAGTCATGTGATGTAGGGTATGTGTGTGCGCACACGCATGCAACATTAAGTTTTATGATGGCCAGAAATGTCCTGCGGATTGTAAGGCACCCTTTCCAAGGCATTGTAACTCTGTATATAAATGACTGTTTCTAAACTGAGGACTATCTGAAATATTTCCTGGACCAGTATCAAGTTAACTAGACCTCAATAAACAAGAGTCCCTGTTTTGTGTAACTGTCCATGTCCCTACAGGAATTCAAGCAGAAGAGTCAATTCAACCAGTCAATAGTTTCACTTTATCTATATGTTCACTTTTGTAAACAGCATGTATTTCCAAGTTTAAAAAAAGAATAAAATTCCAAAACATAAAAGTTACCTGTCAAATTGAAATTTGGTGCAATTGTGCTATCAGCTAGAGTAAACCATATTAAGCCCAAGCTCATACATACTGCAGCAGAAACATCTACAATATTGTAACGTTTCCCTGTATTGTTAAAATAAAAAAAAAAGGGGGGGAGAAGAAACAATGTTGATACTATCTCAGGCAGACTACTTTAGTCCATTCATATGATGCTACATTAATATTCTTCTTTTTATGTGGGCTATTTCCACACTGCATAATATTCTTTCTCGCTCTCTGTGTATACATATATACATACGTACATACAGTGCAGTAGTTATCAGTAAGATAGCCATATATATTTTACAGTAAAAAAAACAGTTAATTTTGTGGCATTTAAAAACTCATTCATTTATTATCATATATATTTTCAAAATGTTTTGCAGTAATGGGGTATTCTTGTATATAATGACAAAAACAGGTGAAACACTTTTTTTTTTGCAAACTGGTGCAGCTCTCTTCCGGGACTGTACTGTTACCTTTTCTTTCCACAGTTTTGTTATTACACACACACACCTATACTGTACTGTTACCTTTTCTTTCCACACTGTTTTGTTATTACACACACATACACACACACACACTGATGTGAGGAGCAAAGCTGAAGCACTCACTATGGCATTAAAGTAACACATGAAGCACTCCTTTTGTGTCAACATCCTGACACAATATCACAACAGAGGGCTTATGTGCATTCTCTGCCTGGCTTATACTGCCATTTGCACGCCGTCTGAATCCTTCTATCATAAGCATGTTTAAATGGTACACTTCATCACGTTTTGAGCCGTTTTAGGTATTTGAAAAAGACATTAAGTCTGAAATTTGCAATTTAAACAACAAAGAGGACTTCAGCCTTGAAATCATTTTAACATTTGACTTCAAATTTAATTGTTGTCACTTAATCCACCTATTACTGTTCTGTGGTTAATCCAGCCAAATAACTTTACTGCAGTCAAATTTCAGAAGCAGAACTAGCTGCTTTAAAAATATATATATCTAAGAATGTTCAAAGGCAGTTTTTGCAGTTTTCCACAGATAATAATTTCCACAAAAAATATACCAGTTTTCTTCCCATAGATTATTATAGTGAAGCAAAATGGGGGGGGGGGGGAACACTAGACTTGGAGAATTTTATTAATAAGGGATATTATACTTTTGTGCTTGTCTTCCCTGTGCAACAGTTCTCAAATGATTCATAAGCGTTCTACTTTGTCCTCCTCATAGTTATAATCAGTTAATTGATTAACTATGTACTATCACTGAAATAGCTCATAAGAGGCATGATCAACAAGTACACAAAAGAGTTAGGAACACGGTGATGTGCTCTGAGATTACTGAAGAAGAGAACGAACAATTCTTTTCTTGTATTTCACAACATACTTTGGATGTTCATGTATGTATGAGTGATGGGATGTTAAATTAATCCAAAGCACTTAATGTTATTATGTATATTCTCTCTACATTTTAGGCAGGCTAAACCAAAAGCAGATAAGATATTCGTATAATAAGGCAGTTTCAAATATTTTACCAATCTTATATTAAAAATTATCTCAACAGCCTACAGGTAGCAGAAAATAGTTTGCAATTCTTGCTAGCAACAAGATATACAAGATGTATAAAAGTTGTTTGGAGAGCACAAGTGGATTTGAGGCCTTGTTTCTGATTTTGTTTTCATGCACATTTCCTATTGATCAAAATTAAGTCCTCTAGATTTTTTTTTAGTGGAGGTTGGAGAGGGGGAAGGAGAAACCAATACAGGGGCTTTACAAGGTTATTTTTTGAAATGAAGAGCAATCAATAGCAAGAATAAGCCATACCTTGTATAAAGATTCCTCCTATCATAACTGGGATCAGTTTACAGCACTTGAAGATTACTTGTGTAGGATAATTCAGATATCCTAAGGAGGTATTTGATAAACCCATAGTCCCCACTGTTAGAAAAGCTATTATCATGTAGGTTTTGCCTGGGATCCTGGAAAATATAAATGAAGCTCTAATATTGGGAACAAATGGCAGCACTATAAAGAAGATTAATTATTTTGGTAAGTAAAAAGTATGAATGAAGTTGGTGGCTTTTTTTTTTTTTTGCAAAGCATGGTATATATAAATGTTGAAATCTGAATTTTATTAAACGTTAAGTCAGAATATGTTTAACTACTCAAGGTAAAGCCTCTGTTTTACTATTACAATTTTGCTCATTTTTTTTTCTTTTTGTAAAAAATGAACTTATACAGTCTTTATGCTTTGTCCCACATTAACATGGTGAAAAAAAAAAGAATGTGGTCTCAATAGCAATGATTGTTTCATTTTTATAGTAATCAATAGGATAATTCTCAAACAGCTGTGCTGACAATTTCGCCCTTTGATTTCCCATAAAAAAGCCCGATATAAAATCTACCCCATGAATTCCGCAGTTGCTTTGAGTGCATTTCATTGGTAGAAAGATGGAATAAAAGTCCAGTGGCTGAACAGACAGTTCTTTCACATTTAGGAATGTAGATTTTATTTTAAATTTAGATTTAGAATGAATACAGGTAGTCCTTGACTTATAGTCACAGAATTACAGTCGTAAGTTGTAAAAGTCATAAATTGAGACACCCACGTGACCAGAAATAATATTCTGGCCTTTTTTGTGGCAGTCATTAAGTGACTACACTGTTGTTAAGCAAATGCATGATTGAAGTAAAACAGTTCAACTGAATAGGATTTTTTTTCTGGAAACTGGCAAAAAATTTTTTTTGTGAATTTCAATCACATGACTGCAGTACACCGTGATGGACCGTAAAGCTGATTAATCTGATAGGCAATTACATGGGGGACAGCATGACCATTTATGACAGCCGGGGATGTTTTATGGGTCACAAAGCACTTGTTTGTGGCCATTATAACCTTGAACAATTATAAAACGATTGTTTAGCAAGGACTACTTGTACATTACAGTCTAGGACAGGGGTAGGCAACCTTGGCTCTTTTATGACTCGTGGACTTCAACTCCTAGAATTCTGGGAGCTGGCTCAGGAATTCTGGGAGTTGAAGTCCACGAGTCATAAAAGAGCCAAGGTTGCCTACCCCTGGTCTAGGAAGAGGTTGCTCTCCTAATCTACTTTATGCATGGAAGCCACTCAGGTCACTGGATTCCAGATTTTAAGAAGCATTTTCACTGTATGCTAAGCCAATTAAAAAATTCTTTTGAAAGTTTTAAATATCTTTTATTTCATATATTTTACTAGCTGTACCCGGCCACGCGTTGCTGTGGCTCTCGTTCACTCAGCCAACAGATGGCACTGTTTTTTTAAAAAAGCATGTTTTTACCTGTCACAGGTGTGACATCTATATAATAGTAGGTATATAAAAACACGTGCGTATTTGAATGCAATGTTGTGTCAAAATTTCAAAGCAATCGGTGAAGAACTTTCGGAGATTTAAGATTTTGAACAAACAAACATTTACATTTTTATTTATATAGAAGAATATAGATGTGTAGAAGTGCTATATATAAACTAACAAAATATAGGTTTCCTTTTAATTAAAGGTTAAATGTGAAAGTTATGCATGTTCCTGAAAAATATTTTATTAATTGTACTTCTGCACTAATTTTTGATATGAGGATCCAAAAATTACATTTATATATAAATATTTTACATTTTAAAATGGAATGGGGGAAAGTTTTATATTTAAAAGTCACTCATATTCTGAAAATTCATCGGTTCCAGACAGTTTCATAAGTTAACATGTAGTTTTTTGAAGAATATTATCCTGAGTTGTCTCTATAGTTTTTTTTATTTTACAAACTGGAGCTAAATTTTTGCATAAGTCTTGTCCACCTAGTAAAACTACTTATAAAAATCAAGCTTTGAAGAATCAAATTTTAAGATTATAAAAATAAATATCATACCTTCTCCTCTTGTCTTGAATAAGCTGTAATTCTATAAGTCCAAAAATGGAATAAAACCCAAATTGTACTAATGTGAGATACCAGCCAAAGGATTTAAAACCTTCTACTGAAAATATTAGTTCCTAGAGAGAAAGGAGACAGAAAGTTATTGCAAAATATGGTATGTAATCATATTATATGAGTTGTAATATCAACTTTCAATTTAATTTTGGATGAGAAATTTGTTGTCTTTATCAGGTATAATCCATGGCATTATTATATCAATGGCTACATAGAACTGATTAACTTTCAAATTAATTTGGGATTAATTAATGTACTTAATAATTGAACATCACCAATATGTATAACACAAGCATCAATATTAGCATAAATAGAAGACATGAAAAAGTCCTCCCACCAAATATGTCTGATTTAGCTATTATATATCAACCAATTACCTTTTGAAACCATATGTCTTCCCACATTATAATGAGGTGGTTTGTTTATCTCCGATTTAGGATGATGCACAAATGAATCAGTGAACGAACCATGGTTTATTTTAGAGAAATAAGCCCATGTTTTGTCAATCACTGACTGCACATCATGCTAATTGCAGTTAGCAGTCACTTGACTTGCCTCCCACACAAGCCCTGAGCCTGCTACAAGAGCAAGGCACAAACAACTCCAAAAGCAAGCAAAACATGGGAATGTTGCTTATAAGAAAGGTTGATTGTGGCAGAATTTGTACACTGCGCTATTTTTGTTCAGTACGATATACAAACTCACTCATTATGGTTTAGCGTAGTGTAGAAAGCAAGCCATTGTTGCATAGCCAACAAAAAAAATAAAAAACCCTGCTTTAATATTATTCAGAACAGCTGCATTTTATTGCAATTTTATTTTCAAACTTTTGCATAATATTTGCTAATTTTACTGCAGCTGCACATTCATTTCTTGTTTTCACTGAGCTGCTCACATCTAGTTCAAACTTCCATCAATGACTATGTGAAACTGGTATAAAATGCTGCAATGGGTACTATATAACTTTCATAAAATGCTCAATATGCATTTTGTTGCTGGTTCACCTAAATACAAAAGTCATTTCTATTGAAGTTTAAATTCCAATTGGTGCTAATTTTTTTAATACAGAAGATGGAAATTAATCCACACAATGGAGATTCAGTGCCTTCTCTTGCATCAATATTGCTGCTGGCAATACGGAATTTAGTCATTATCATATTCATCAGGACTGAAGCCTTAAAATTATGTGTGTCTTCTTTGAGTAATATGATTTGGAGTAAGAAAAATCAAATGCCTAGGTAGAATACTGGCTTAGAAGCAGTATATGCAGGAAGCATCTGGGGGCCTAGCTAGCTAGCTAGCTAGGTAACTACCTGGTGTGAATTACCACTGCAAAGGATTGCTTTGTATGAACAGGCATGGTTTTGCAGCAGCTAAATAGATCAAAGGAATCTTGGGTTATACCACAAAAACCTTGTATTCAGATAACAGGAGATAAAATTCCATAGTACTCTGCCATAGTTAGACTGCACTTGGAAAACTGCCCCCAGTTCTAGATAAAGACTTAGTGAGCCTGGATTGGATTTGAAGGAAAACTACCAGAGTCCAAAAACCAAGCCTTACAAAGAATGGTTAAAGATTTGGGGCATATTTTAGTTTACAAAAGTTAAGGCTGAAATAGACATCTCTAAAATGATATATTGCGCAACAGTGGGCAGAAAATCAGGAGAGGACGAGGATTAATAGTTGAAATTAAAAGAAAAACGATTTAAACTGAAGCTTAGAAGGAATTTCCTGACAGGAATAACCAATGGAACAGTGCTAACCAATGGAACGGTATTCTCAGAATAGTGGTAGACTCCTTGGTGGTGGTTTTCAAATGGGAACTGTATGTGTGACCAGTCAGTGATCATTTGGTCACTCAGTAGAGTTCTTGAATCATATCTTCTTTCATTATTCTCTTTATAGGGAATCTCAAACTACTTTTATCCACTCATCCTGAAGAAATTCCTTGGCAGAAAGCACAACTTATACTTGTTGCTTCTCCTATAGGCCCATTATTCAGATATATTTTTCTGGTTTGCCCTATTTTGCATGGGCAAACAATCTGTCTTTTCTCTTATTTGAAAAATTGTATGAATGGGACTAGATAACCAAAAGATCCCACTTAAAACATATATTATGAATGAAATGTGTTTGAATATTAGTAGCTCGGGTTGGTAGTTGGGCTCTTGGTTTGAGCTCCGAGTTTGGCAATTTGCAATCTTTAGATCACCACAAAAATTTAAATTCTTGCTAATTCCTGTTTAATAAACTACCTTAATGCTAAGTTGAATAAAAATTTCTAATACTAATGTCTACCTGAAAATTTTCAATGGATTCTGAACCTTGCAAAACTTTTAAGAAAGTTCATTAATGAGTGGGCATTTCCACTTTCCTTCAAATGTGCAAATACGTATTTATCTTTATAGGAATAGAATTTCTTCTTATTTTAATAAAGCTTACAGCTGAATCAAAATTGCTATAAGTCATGAAAATTGTTTTCTGGCAATTTGTTTACACTCACACACAAAGAATGATAGTGCATACCTGCAAATATCCATAAATAAGATAAAACAGGAAGACTCCCAAAACACAAATAAAAAACTGTGTAGGTTTGTTAAATTTGCTGAGATTAATTCCGAGGACAATTATATCATCTATTGATTTGATGTGTGGTGACATAACTTGGGATTTTGATGGTATGCTGATAGAAACATATTTCCGAGAGGAATTGAATTTCATATCCATGATTCCTAGTCTTCTGCATTCGGTAGTTAAAAGTCCTGTTTGGTTGCAAGCTGAAACAAATAAGATTAAGTTTAATCATAGCAACAGTTAAGGGAGCACCTTATGTATTCATTATGTCATTTAGTTGTAATTTGTTTCACTCAGACTCTCTAAGGCGATTTTAAAAATTTCCATAGTTATGGAAATCATGATTTGGTATAAATTTTATTAAACGTTTTACAGAAAAAATAAAAACTAACACAAACTAATACAGAATGAAGAAAAAGGTTGCCACAAAGAAGAGGGAGTCAAGCTATTCTCCAAAGCACTTGAAGGCAGGACAAGAAGCAATGGGTGGAAACTAATCAAAGAGAGAACCAACCTAGAACCAAGGAGAAATGTCCTGACAATTAGAACAACGAATCAGTGGAACAAATTGCCTCCAGAAGTTGTGAATGCTCCAACACTGGAAGTTTTTAAGAAGAGATTGGACAACCATTTGCCTAAAAAGGTATAGGGTTTCCCGCCTGAGCAGGGGGTTGGATTAGAAGACCTCCAAGGTCCCTTCCAACTCCGTTATTCTATTCTATTCTAAAAAAGAAATAAAAAAGACAAAAGGAAAGCACACAAAGATTAAAAAGAAATAGAAAGAAGAAGCTTCCGATAAGTTAGATTTTATGGTTTTAAGCAGAGTTTTGAGATAAAATTATCTACTAATTATGATCATGGTATTGCTAAAATGTGTAAAATTTTGTTGATATATGAGACAGAAGAAGAACAAAAATGAAAGAATGTATGATTAAAATGGGGTAAACACTTTGATTGTAATATACAAATAGCTCAATGGCAAAATATGTGGTGGAAAGGATTAAAATTCACTTCATGTTCTAGACCTAAACAGAATGTTTTGTTGGTATAGATTACCAGAGAAATTGTTTATAATATGTAAATGTACTCTGAAACTTTGCTGAAAATGTGAAAACATGTAGAGAGATTTTACTGTGTTTAATGGACATGCAAAAAGCTAAAAATTTTGGATACATTAATCCAGAAGATTTTAAAGGTTAAAGAATAACAGAGACCTTTTTTTGGGAGTAGGGGAAGACTAATGGACAGATAACTAGAAAAAAGTATATAAAAACTTTATTATATGTAACTGCTGTGAAACTATTCTATGTTCCAAAATGGAAATGTTCAACATTACCCATAACAAGAGGAATGATTGGTGAAGATGATGGAACTTGCAGAAATGGTTAATCGCTTTGATTAGAGAAAAAACAACATCTGTGTTTACGGCTGACTGGAAATCCCTTATACACTTTTGCATGATATAGAAAAAAATACACTCATGATTTATGGTTTTGATTATTAGAAAAAACTTGGATAGTAAAAAAAGTGAGCTATTTTTTTGTAATTTCATAGCAGGGATCAATATTGTAATTGTACTTGTATTTGCTGAGAAAGAAATCAGAAGAATAATCTATTTATTTTTATTCATTTTCTGCATTTATTAATAAATATTAAATATTAAATAAGTATTACATTTAATATATTTATTTATTTTTCACATTTGTAAACCACCCATCTCCCTCAGAGAGGGACTCTTTTTCTTTCTTCCTTCCTTTCTTTCTTTGCTTTATTATCTTTTATTAGTTTTTGTTAGTTTTTCTGTTATGTGTAAAACTTTTTTAAAAAATTATTTTAAAAAGACATTTTCATTACTTATTGTGTGGTATGGAAAGCAGGCAATCATACTTTACTCTTGTAAAATAGGCAATCTTCTGGTTGACCAAAATATGGATTATTTTGGGTGTTAGAGGGGAAGAGTGCTACACATGGCAAGGCAATACAAAGTGGGTAAATTAGGGATCTTTGGGACTTTTGGGGTGGTGGTGGTGGGCAGGATAAGTTTAAACCAGATTAACTTTATTTCAGGTCTTACATTGGGGGCCAACAGCATAGCATATTTAGCAGATCTAGTAAAAATCTTATGACATATAAACCGAGAACAAGAAGTTTGGGTGGCATTGCTGAAATATTATGAGATGTGAAATTTTAGTCACTTTTCATGATTCCAGTCTTATACTCCATATGCTATGTATAAAAGTTATCTCCACTTAATCACAATATCCTCATTTTATAAATCTAAAATTAAATGCTTAATTCAGTCTAATTTACCAAAGAGATATTTAAGTATTACTGCATTTTATGCTTCTGGGAAACTGATTTGCAAGTGTCTGATTACTCTCGAGGCAGATAAATAGGATATACCAGTGGTGGCGAACCTATGGCACGCATGCCAGAAGTGGCACTCAGAGCCCTCTCTGTTGGCACGCGCACCACCGCCAGCAGCAGGTGCATCAGGCTGCCACTGCCGCCCGGAGCAGAAGCCCCATCCAGCACAAAGGAGGCGAAGCGGTCGACTAGCAAGCTCAAGTAGAAGTGGTAGAGCAGAGGTCACCAACCATTGTTGGACTGGAAGAAAAGGGAGGGGGAAGCATTTTGTACTGCAAATGAGGGGGGCTAGTGCCTGCATGATACTCACTAGCCCTGCCCCATTCTTGCGTGATGCAACACCTTGTATCTGCACCCCACAGTGCGGCGGTGGCCGTTTTTGCGCCTTGCAGCATGGTGGCCCATTTTTGCGCCCCTGGTTTTTGCGTGCCAGAGGCGGCATTCAGAGGTGCCTCCCTGCCCCCCCCCCCGAGGGCACCACAATGCTGATGCAGCCCTGGCACTTTGCGATAAATGGGTTTTGGGTTGCGGTTTGGGCACTCAGTCTCTAAAAGGTTCGCCATCACTGGGATATACTATGCAAGAGAAACAAAAAAACAACAATTACCAGAAACCTAACTAGACATCAATTAAACCCAGTTTCAAACATTTAATATGGAATTGATAACTTAATTCCCTGCCACCTCTTATTTCCCACGCTTGTTCTTGCAGGCAAAATATACTTTTTGCCAAAAGCTTCCTAAATGTTCCTATTAGCAATTCAGTTAACAGGGAGCTAGGAAATAATTTTTATTTGCCTGGATATAATAGCAAATATTTCTAGTCTGTTAGCAAGTTTCTACTATGGTATCAATTTCTGTTAACTGGGCTTTATTTAATTGTTAGCATACATTTACCTAAGGAAACTTTTCCTTAATAAATAGTAATTCTTCCCAAATAGTTTACATATGTAATTATATATCAGTTGGCTGCTATTGCCAATTAAAGGAAGAACATTATTGTGCAACTTTGCGCTGTAAGGAGACTCATACAAAATGCTATAAATGTAATTAATACTAATTCTGTCAGGTTTTTTCCTGTGCTTTCCCTTTTTCTATTTTTTTTAAGTATTTCCCTAGCAAATTATACCTTCTGTTCAGATTTTTGCTGAACATGTTTTTCTAATGTTCCATAATGAATTCTTTTCTTAGAAAGTTGTGTGATTAATACCTACAAATTAATGCACCTTAATGAAAGACCACATGTTTTAGCTAGTCTTTTTAATGCTTTTCAAAAAAATATATTTTCTTTAAAAACTTGGCGTCAAAAAAACTAAACATGAGACAAATTGAGCAGAAGTCTACAGGTAATGTCCAGATGTTACAACTTTGAATAGCCCCAGCATCTAATGATGAAGAATCCTGGAAACATCCTTGTCCACAGAAGGGGGAGGGGAGTGACAAGTAGAAAAGTGTGGTCTCTCTTTCTCTTTCTTATAGCTGCCCATCTCACAAGCAATTCTGGGAGGCATACCACAAGACTACAAGAGTATGTAAAATAATTATCAATAACAAAAAAATAAAACATTTAAAATATATAAAAAGAGTTAAAATAGGCAAATGGATCTTAATAGTAATGGAGCCATCTCATCAGTTCCCCTTTCCCCTAAGGTCCCTAGGCCTTCTGACATAACAGGTCTTAAGAGACCTGTGGAAGCCTAGAAGCAATGTATCATGAAGTTGTGACATGATTCATCACTTTGGCATCAAGAGGGACTAACTTGGAATGTCTTTGGCTAGAAACTGTAGTTCAACAATAGCTGGAAGGCTATAGCTTCCCTAATAGAGAAATTCAAGTAATTATCTTGTTTCTTATTTATTTATACAATATACATATATGTATATACATATACATATGCACATGTATATCTATATGTAGAGTCATTGCTAGCATTGCATTTAAAAATGGTGAATTTTGTCTACATTTTGTAATTCTATAGAAAGAAGAGATTCATTGTTACTGATGCCATATGCACACATCTGTTACTATATAGGAAAAAAAAAATGCTTGGAACAACTTTTTATCCTGTAAAGCCTGACTACAATCCATTATCTTACCCTATGGCAGAATTCTTACAGAAGCTTCCGCACATTTGTACTTCATGTTAACTCTTGAGAAAAAAAGATCTTGAAATGATGTTATATAAAATGCATAATGTGCAATGTGAAATGCATCTGGTTTAACACAATTAATCTGTGGGGTCCTTGGTACTCCCTGAGATTGGTTGTTTTCTTGCAGACATTTCATTATGAAACTAGGTAGCAGCACTTAGAAGGGTGTGGGTTATAAAAAGAGAGTAAACCCCACTCCCTTTTAGCACTGATGATGTTACCTAGTTTGGTAATGAAACATCTACAAGTAAACAACCAAACTCGGAGAGCACCAAGGACCCCACAATTCAATCCTGAGCTACAAATATCTTTTCTATTGGTATAGATTAGTTTGTGCCTTCAATCGCTCTGCCAGTAAAAATAACTTTAATCAAACCTGAGTTCAAATCATAGCCTCTTAGATTTAGATCCAGACTTGCCACTGGACAAACAGAGGGACCCTAATTCAGTAGAGGATCTTCAGGTATGGGAAGGATTATAATTATGATGACTGCCTTTTCTTCCTACATTTTTCTTTCCCCATAATGACATCTTAGAGAATTCCAAGGCTCTGGGAACAACATATTGGTGATAAGCATGTAACCAGCTCTTTTCTTAATGTGGAAGATGGAATGTAAAAATCTTGTCACTAGCTTTATATCTGCCGGATTTTTGGTGAATTCAAATTGCAAGCATTCTAAAACAAAAATAAAACCAGATGCACTAAGTGTAACTGCAATTTCAAATTTATTAATTCAATTCTCTTTATCCTCTATTTGTCCATAAACATACACTTGTATACAAGTACCTACAGATGAATATGGACTTAACATATTTTTTTAAAAAAATCAACAAATTGCAGTCCTAAATTTAATGCCTTGGGAAAACTTGTTACATAACTCAATGAAGCTTACTTCCTAATAAATGCAGCAAAGATTGAACCAAATATGTCTTATTATTTTCATATGTCTTATGAAAGGAGTTAAATTGTTTTTTAAAATACTGTTTCCAGTACTTTTTTTGTAAAAATAATTTCTTGGATTTCATGTGACAAACAAAAATTGAACAGATGACTCAGCATTCATAACAAGTCAGATGATATAACAATGACAAGTGTCATGATTCAAATAATAATTATGTAACTGTACCATATATAACCCAAGTATATAAGTTATATCATTTATGTGATATTATTTGACACTCCCCTCTCCCTACACTTATGAAGTGGGCTTTTTCTCAACAATGTTATGTAAAATAGAATTGTTCTTTTGGGCCATAAGATTAAAAGACACATGGAAATCCTAGACTAGCCTATTTTACTCATAACTTTTATTTCCCATCTTTGTCTTACAAAAACTTACATCAAATGCAAACTAAATTGGAAATTTAAATGAAAATAAATTAATATATATATTACATTTAAATTTAATGGATATATTTATATCTTACCAATTTACAGGTTGTTTTTGAAGCGAATATATTTTGTTTATTACTCTCCTAAAAGTTTACCAATATAGAAAAAACAAACTTTTGATAGATGAGATTGCCTTTAAAATGTGTTGTGTGTCAAATATGTCTGCAGCAGATAGGGTGATGATGAGAATGGGGCATTTCTTTGAAGATTAAGCACCTACAGAAAGAACTGTATTAAAATGGAAATACAATTTTGTTATTATTTATTGTTTCATTTATTTTTTAACAGTATTGCTGTTCTAATCCTAACTTATTTTGCACACCGTCTAGAGTTTATGGAGTAAGGCTGTTTATAATCTTATAAATTTTATAAATCAAGAATATGTTAGCCTGTTTTAGGATCTTCCTTACAATCTCTGAATGTTTCTCATATCAAAATGGCAAGAAATCTCTAAGGTTCATGTTGTTTTTAGAGTTCCTAAAAAGAGAAGGGAAATGTGTCCCTTCTGTGAAAAACTAGCTGTGAAAAACTGAAATAGGAAAATATGTGTGGAGCACAAACAGTGACATTTAATCAGAACTTCTGAAAGGTCATGTTTTATGTCAGTAAAGTACGGCACCAAATACTCATGTGCCACCAGGTCAGTTATGCCTGTTCACTGACAGAGGGTGAGGCAGCCATTCAGTTCTGTTCATCTGGAGGTAATTTGTCACTTTCCTCTTCAACTAACATCTAATAGCCTATCTTGACTCTCCACCTTTACAAGTTACAGGTAGTCCTCAATTTACAACAGTTCATTTAGTGACCGTTCAAAGTTACAATGGCACCAAAAAAGGGACCTATGACCATTTTTCACACATGTTCGTTGCAGCATCCCCCATGGTCACATGATTTACATTCGGATGCTTGACAACTGGTTCATATTTATGATGGTTGCAGGGTCCCGGCGTCATGTGATCACCTTTTGCAACCTTTTGTCAAGCAAAGTCAATGGGGAAGCCAGATTCACTTAACAACCTTGTTACTAACTTCACCACCGCAGCGATTCACTTAACAAACGTGGCAAGAAAAGTCGTAATATGGGGCAAAACTCACTTAACAACATAAATGATGGGCTCAATTGTGGTCCTAGGTCTAGGATGACCTGTATTTAGGAGTTCAATTGTTAAAGAGCTGCCAATAAGCAACCCTTAGCAGTTTCCTTGCCATCCACCCAGCTACAGGTGGCTTAAAGCAGTCCTTAACCCCGAGCTCTCTTCTTCCTTCCCTCGCTGTACGGATGCAGCGATTTTGAAAAAAAACAAAACTAAATTAAAAAAAACTCTTTTGAGTTGCCCCACCAGGTAAAAGCAACATCATTTATGAAAAGCTGGGCACCGGTCTGCATTCTTACTAAGTGTGGAAGCTGCATGTACTCTTTTTTTTCTCGCCCTTCCATCCTCTGAAATGGGTTGCTGCAACGGGACGCAGGATTTGGAGTGCATCAACCCAGAGGGAAAAATGAAGACTGATGGTGGGGGAAGAATAGGCTTCACTCAGCTTGAAGGAGCAAAGCCGGAAGAAAAGGGGAATGAAAATGCACCACGGTCAAACGATGCAGCTGTCATCAGGGACCGGATAGGGCGAAGTGGCAAGAAGCCCCCTTTGCAGGCGTAGCCCAGCCTCGCCCTACTCTTCCCGGCTGCCGGAAAGATCCGCCACGCAAGAAGCTGCACCGCAACTATCCCTCCCCTATAATCAAGCCTGGGAGAGGAGGCGTTAGTACCTGAGTCCGGAGAGACGGTTTGGCCACAATCAGGAAAGGGGGGGGAGGAGGAGGAGGAGGAAGAAGAGGAGGAGGAAGAGGAGACAGCCGGGACAAGGCGGAGCGCTCCGGCCGCCGCCACCGCTTCGCTCCCCCCTTCAAGCGCCCAAAATGGCGGGGAGCGCAGAGCTCATCGAACTACCCACCTCCGACATCTGTGACTCGGCGTTTGCTCGGCTTGGCCTGGAAACTTAGAGCCGGTGCGCCTTTCGCTGGTTCGCTTCCTTCTGGGCGACCGAAGTGGATCGATCTTGCGGCTGCCGCAAACCGCGATCTTGTCTTTCGGGAGGTGGGGAAAGGAATGGCAGCGGCTGCAGCCGGCGCTACAGGCTTCCAGTGATTCGCCCATTCATTCATAATACTTGTGTAACTTTTCTTCAGTATCTGCAGTTATTATAGATAATATCTGTGGAATTTACTGGGTATACTGCACGCTTTGCTGCCTTGATCTTCGCTTATAGATCTCAGATAGGAAATTCAAAAGAAGATAGGTTTGATACGCTTCTGCTTATCTTCGCCATCTTTTATATATAGCGCCAATTGTGCAAAATTGACTCACGGGAAACAATAATTAATGTTTTAATCATTTGATTGACATAATTGTATATGATCAATTGGCTAAGATTTAATTGGACATCCCTAGTTATTCACAACATTTCCACGATGTTCTCGTGGTAATATAGAGACAGTTCATCTATCTCATTTATTTTCATTCTTTTATCCATAGATTGTCAGCTTGAATATTTTTAAATTTTTAACACTTTATCCACTAAGGCTGCCAACTTATTTTTTGGCTGCTGAATAAGAGAAAAAAAGGTTTTCATAGGTTAAATATATAGAAGCCATAACAGGTAGCAAACACTCAAAAATTAACATTTTTCTCTTAGTAAAGCTGTAGTACTAAAATATCTCTTCTTTCAAAACAGTTTATGGTTTAATGAACTAACGAATGTTGGCCAAAGACAGGAATTTCTCTCATTTCAAACTCCAAAACTCTGAGATATATATTTAAAGATATATCAAGTGAAATATTTTTGTTTGCATTTATTCAAACATTTATTCTAGCATTTGTACTTAGAAATTCCCACAATGTTGTGAAAAACAGAAGCAGAACATGCAGGAAAAAAAATAAAACTAAAAAGAACCATCCCTCTGGAGCAGTGATGGCGAACCTTTCAGAGACCGAGTGCCCCAAAACTGGCCCCACCCCCACTTGACCCCCTGCCCTGCCCCCGCTCTGCCCCCACCCTGCCTGCCCCCAGGGCCACTCACCGCCTCCAGGGGCCACTGCAGCTGCCCAGCAGCGCCATGGCGGCCATGCCCTCTGGCCGCGTCCTGCAGCATCAACTGTGCACGATGGGGTGTGAGGACAAAGTCTTGTCTACGCTGCCTAGCTGCCATGTCCTTGCTGCACTGCTCTGCGTGGGCCACGCTCAGGGGGCGACTCTCCTCCAGGGGGGCTGCTGGTGAGGAGGGAGTCATGGGGGAGGCAAGGCTGGGGCAATGGCACATGTGCCCACAGAGATGGCTCCAAATGCCGCCTCTGGCACCCGTGCCATAGGTTTGCCACCACTGCTCTAGAGACAACAGTAACAAAAGGAGCAATGTACAATAATCCAATATGTTAGTCCTAACGCAATTATAGAAGCCTGGGAAAAAATTACAATTTCATTCATACCCTCCCCTAAAATTATTATTTATAAGAATTGTATGCCGCCCATTTCTCCAACTCTAGGTGGTAGGTTTCCAGTATGAGGACAGGATTGGTTTTGTGTTCAGAGTGATACAGATTGTGTTATCCCACTGGAAACAAATCCCTCCATATATGTTAGTAAACACCTGTTGCTCTAGAGCTTTCAAATGGGAGCAGTTTTCCAATTACTGTATCAAAATAAAATATACTACTGCTTATATAAAATAACAGAGTAGGGAGTGCAGGGAGGAAGATTATTATTATTTTTTTGCTGCAAATGTTAACATTGCGACTTCAGATTAAAAAAAAATCTACAACTACTCTTTTAAAAACCTGATTCAGAGAATAAAGCTGTTTCCAATGGAAGGTTTCTTGCATCATCTTTCCAAAAGTGCTCCCTAAATTTTCTCCTTGAGCTACGATCATTCATCTAGTAGCATTCAATGTCATGACAGTACTAGATGAAAGTGATTACCGCCAGTCCTTGGAATTCCAGCTGTCCCACCACCACCCCTGTGGTCAAATGATCATGATCTGGGCCTTTGGCAATTGATTTACACTTATGGCCCGTTACAGTTCCTGTGATCACATGATCACTCTTTGCAAGCTTCCCCAGAAAGTCAGTGGGGAAGCTAGCAGGGAAGATGGCTAGTTGCTGGGATAAGTCTACCCCATCTGTGCAACCTGACTCTCTGCCTGTGCCAGCCACCTGTGCATTCTTATCTGGGTGAGGCTTCTTGTGCATCCTCCCTGAATCCATGCCTCCATTGCAACTTCATGCACTCCCTCAGCCCTCTCCCTTGAATCCTTGCACACCCTTCCTGGCCGTCCCTCACTCACCTTGTGCATCCTGTTTGGCCCATCCTTGCACATCCCCTTGTTCTCTATCCCATCTGACAACAGCCACTTACCTGCCTGCCAAGCTGAGACTTGCAACTTCCTACCAGCTTCCCCACTGACTAGTTAGGTTCCAATTGACGTTGCAATTTGAGGACTTTCTGTAGAAGAAAATAGGAAATTCTTATTCGGAAACAGAAAAGGTGATACCATAGGGCAGACTGGCAAAGAAGAATAAATAAGCAGAGTTCCTGTCTTGATTTGTGAAAAGTTTTTTTTAGTTTGTGTAAAGATAATTTTACAACTGCTTATAAAGGATATGATTTCTAGATTTTTAAAACTCACCTCCTTCCTTTATTTTGTCTTGAAGAAAATGTTGATGTGGTTTTTACATTTCAGTGGTTCCTTCTTGCTGCATTAGTCAATATTTTGGGTCAATGCATTCTATTCACCTCTCTTGTTGTGGAAAACAGGTTTTACTGGTGGGAATTAAGTCATTCAAAAGTGCATTCAAAAGCAATGCGTTATATTTATGACTAAACAAGCAAAAATGTCTGTTAATTTATACAGTATTTGTGTTTAGTCAGAAGAAATATAACACAATAAATAAGCTTTTATAAGCTTGCTAATATTTTGTGTCAGAAAAATATGTTTTAAAACTAATAAAATATAGAGAATATTGACTCGTGGTGATTACATGGCCACATCTATGCAGTTTCCTTGGCAAATATATACTTGAAGTTGCTACTTCCTTCTAGATTTTTTAAAAAAATTCTCTTTAGCTTACAATCCTAGAATTCTCCAATAGTTTTCTCTCCAAATATTAATCAAGTCTGTTCCTGTATAGCAGTTAAGGTCAGCCAGATACTACTTACCACACCACAGTGTGTTCTCCACATGACACATATTTATTTTTGCTTGTATTCATTGTCATCACTTCTCTCCACCACCCCTGGGATATAGGTCTAAGCCCCTCCCTCGAAACCTTCATTTTTTCTCTTAATTAAAACATATAAGGACACTTTAAGGCCAGCAATTACTGGTTTTACAGAGCAGGAGTGTCCACAAGGGGTCAAAAAAGTCAAGATGGTGGCAATGACTTGTGGGTTCTGTTTTTGAATCGTCAATAATCAGATTGACTCAGACTCAATAGACAAAAAGCCCTGAAAAGTTGGGTGGTTGGTTTTTTTGTTTTTTTGTTTTTTTAAATCTCTCTTAGTGACTTGCAGGTAAGGTGGCAGGAGACTTGACTTTAGAAAAGGAAAGCCTGCACATAAAAAAGGAATTGTAAATTACAAATGCCTTCAACTAATACAGAAATTAATGTTAATAAAACTTTCTATTAAATTGATTTTTTCTATAAGCTGATTATGTTGTATTCTTCAAAGTCCAATTTCACTGTATTTTCATATTTTTTATTCTATACTTCCTACAGTATATATTGCTGACTTTTAAATTTTTGCTGTCTTAATCCCTTTTCCTCTCTGTTGGCACTCTCTATGGAACTGTAGTCCTTTTTGTACAGAGTTTGATCTGCCTTTTTATCTTTTTTAAAGTTTCTGTTCATCTTTTCTTATTGTTTGTTCCTTGCTGAGTTTTTTGATTCTTCTCTTTCAAATCTTTGGTCTAATTCAGGGAAGTAGTTTGAAGAACTTTTTCCCTGACGCCAGGTTTGAGCGAAGGAAATAAGTGTTCCTCTCTCCCAAGTTTTCTTTCTTGTTGCCTTTTTTTCTGGGTGGCCTGTTTTCATCAGGGCAGTCTATCTTTTATTTTGCCTCTTCATTTGACTCCTGGATTTTGGTCTCTTTATTCAGCCTCTCCTTTATAAAGCCCATGGTGGCAGAGTTCCCAGGCAGACATCTTGTCTCCTCTCCTTCTCCCCCACCTGCCCATTGCTACTCTTTGATTGGCAGAATGATTGATTGACTTTCTTTACCTCCCCCCCCCAATTACTTGCTTGCAACATCAACATATGGACTGTCATCCAAAATTAATTTGTATGATTAGAGAAAACAGTAAACAGTTTCAACATGTTCATTTATTCAAATGTTAGGGCCCGAGAAAAAGAGTGGACGGAAACAAAGGGATGATATGTGGGTGCATGAAAATTTAGATTGATCCTTAAGAAAATAGGTATGAAAGGAGCTGAGCAAGAATTTCCGCCTATCCAGAATAAAACAACAATCAGTTTTCCACTTATCTGTAAATGATTAATTCTTTGTGGAGTCTTGGAAAATTTACATTGCACATTTCTTTTGAATCTCCTAACCAGTTTCTTTCTAGTTATTTGATTTGGGGGCAGTAATAGGAGGAAATATTATTTATTCACAAATGTAGATAAATGTCCTTTCTGGACATTCTTAATAAAGGTAAAAAAATTCAGATTACATAGTCATTTTGAACATTTTGATCCAACAGAGCTAGATGTGCTAAAAAAATGGTGAATGTTTCCACCTCTCTACTGAGACAGGA